GCCTCCCCGCCTCACAGGGAAGGGCCCGCGGAGAGGATGTTGGAGACTGGGAAGAGCGGCAAGAAGGCACGGTGCGAGCACTCTTGGGACCCTCAATGGTGGGCGGACGTCATGCTGGCAACGAAAACTCCAGAAAATCCCCAGAAACAAAAGACTACAGGAATCTGCCTATTGAGAAGGTCCGCCGGGCACTTGGGAAAACGGACTCCGGCCCTGAGACATGCAGGTGAGAGGGCTCAGTGTTACAGATTTTGAGAATGATCCGAGATCTCCAAGATCTCCGAGGGCAGGGGACCTGCCTTGGCAGCAGAGTTCTCCAGCGAAGGAGAACAAGAACCGGAAGCCAACCCACGAACCGAGATGTTTTTCTATCCAGCCCAGCTGTCCTTCAAGGGTTACTGGGTACCAATTTGAGTACTTCTAGCGAGCCCTGGTGGTGTAGCGGTTATGGGCTGGGCTGCGGTCCGCGAGGTCTGGGGTTTGAAACCACCAGCCACTCCTCAGGAGAAAGAGGGGGCTTTCTACTCCCGTCAACAGTGAGTCTCAGACACCCACGGGGCAGTTCTTCCATTGGGTTGCTGCGAGTCTGTGTTGTTTTAGCTTGAGTCCCTGGATGAGGATGTCATCCGACCAAGAGATGAGTAGAGAACTGTCAGAAAGATACTGATGGCCTTCATCTACTGAACTATACATTTAAGACGAGAACGACGAAAGGGAGGGAGGGGGAGACTGTGCTAGTCAAATACTACAGAGAAAACACATACAACTGAAAATGAGAGGAAAGTCGAATCATGGCCAAGACTGTAGTCTAGAAAATGGAAGGGGGTTAGAGGATACCAGTAGCCACTGGATAATAAAGGGTCAAGGGGGAAATCAGGGGATAAAGGCTCCTGTCAGAGCTATAAGAACAAAACCCAAACCACACACGCTGCCACAGACCTGGTTCCGACTCACAGCCACCCGGGAGGGGAGGAAGATCGGCCCCCCAGGTTTCCAGGACTGTCCATCTTTACAGTAGCAGAAGACCTCAACCTTCTCCTGCAGCGCCGCTGGTAGATTCAAACTGCTGCTCTTACGGTTGATGGTCCAAGTTGTAACCCACTGTGGCACCAGGACTCCTTAGAGGGTCACAAGGAAACACTAAAGCAAAGGGGCACACCTTCCTGAGTGCCAGAGAACAGTCCGCAGGTGAGCAGAGAGAGAAATACAGCACTGCAGTGTCACACACACAGTCCTTAGACACAGCAACGACAGAACAGTGACCAAGCCTCACCACCGTGTCAGTCAGTGTGAAAGGCTTAACTCAATTATGACAAAAACATTTTTAGGTTGGCTTACAAAGCAAGGCCCAACTAAATGCTGAAAACAAGAGACAAATTCAAAAGGGCTAAAAAGAGAGGCTGGGGGTAAGGGGGAGTACAGATTAGGGACCCAAGACCCATCTGTAGGCAACTGGACATCCTCTTACAGAAGGGGAGGAGACGAGCCAGTCAGGGTGCAGCGTAGCAACAATGAAACATACAACTTTCCTCTAGTTCCTAAATGCTTCCCCACCCCACCCCCAGTA